AAAAAAAAAAAAAACCTCTCAAAAAAAAAAAAAAATTGACAGGACCAGCAGTTAGCGTAATGGCTATGTCGCTGGACTCCCATGTAGTCCAGCATGTTCACATCCAGGACCCAGTAGCTTAAAACTCACGCCGGGTATATGTGCATGTGTGCCCAAGATCCCGAGAGGAGAACGGAGGAGAAGGGATTGATTGCAGTGTTGGCCATCCCCCCTGGGGTGTGATTTCTCGCTGTCTCTCTGTCTTTCTCTGTCTTTCTCTGTCTGTCTGGTGAGTGGACTATAGCAAAAACCTCTCCAAAAAAATTGATTGGGCCAACATTACTGCTAGTGGCTAAGGGAGCTGTATCCAACATGACCAACCACAGTTTGAATCCTGGCTCTCATAACTTAACAAAACACTCCAGCTTCATGTGCATGTATGCTCCAGATCACAAGAGGATAGAGAAAAGGAGAAGGGATTATAGCATGATTCAACCCATGGGAGGGGAGAGTGTTTTCCTCCTCTCCTCCCCATTTCTGTCTCTCTCTGGTGAGTGCATGTACCCCAAAACAACAACAAAATTGAAATCTATGCATAGATTTTTTGTAATATGCATTGCCTATAAACTTTATAGGACCCCAAACTTAATACAAACACAAAGCCATACCACATATGTATATAAATGTATGTGTATTTACAAGAATAAAAAGTAAACCAGAAAAATACCTATCAAACTTATAAAGTAGTTCCATCAGGTAAGTTCCATTAAAAAACAAAAGCAATAATTTAAAAGAATTTACATTCTTTGGGGCCAGCAGGTGGCATGGTGGTTAAGGAGCTGAACTCCCACATGGCCGACCACAGTTTGAGTCCTGAACCTAAGGGCTTGCTTTCTCACATTCTCTCTGTCTCTCTCTCTGGTCAAATAAATAATAATAAATAAAAATAAATAATTATTTATAACAATAATTTGCATTTAAACTACAACATTTTACTACTCAGAGGGAAAAGACTAAATGTAAAATGAACAAATATTAATGGTGATTAATTCTGGGTAATAAAAATAGAGATGTTGGAGGACAGTAGATGACACTGAATTCCCACAAGGCAACCGTGATTTGACTGGACCCAGAGGCTTGAAAATCATGCCAAGCACATGTGCATGTATGTCCAAAATCTGAAGAGGAGAATGATGGAAAAGGGACTGTGGCATGGCCATCCCTCCTGGGGAGTGATTTCTCCCTTCCTCTCTGTCTCCAATGAGCACATGCACCCCCTATGACAAACAAAACAAAACGAACATTCAAAAACAAAAATGTTTGCTTTTTACATATATATTTTACCATATCATTTCTCAAAAAATACCCCACAGATTTCTGTATAATTCTTCTTCCAAATTACATCTCACATTATATATTTTATACAATTTCTCAAAATAAGCAATAAATCCTGTATGTAAAATAAATTCTGAAGGATTTTTGCTATAAGGCACATGAATTGGTCAGAGAGAAACAGAGAGTAAAAAGTGAGAAATCAGCCCCTGTGGGGATGGCCATGCCACAATCCCTTCTCCATTCTCCTCTCTGGATTTTGGGCACCCTTGCACACTCTGCCCGAGTGAATTTTAAGCCAACAGGTCCAAGACTCGAACTACAGTCAACTACGTAGGAGTCTAGCAATGTAACCACTATGCCATTTGCTGGTCATAATAAATAAAATACATTTGTATTCATCTTAAATTGAAAGTAA